TGATAACTGCAGCTCTGGCTGATATCTTGACTACAACCTCATGAGAGATGAGTAAAATCATCCAGCTAAACCACTTCAGAACTCTTGACCCACAGAAACTGTGAGACAATACATGTGTTTTTTTGTTGTTGTTGTTATTGCTAAATTTGGGGTAAAGTGTTGTGTAGCCAAAGAGAGCTAATATAGACATTAAGGTCTAGAGAGCTCGAGGAAGCCAATAAAATGTGTGGGTCAAAGAGCTCAAGGGAAAATAGTCAAAGTCCGAAAAAATAATGTTTGAATTTAAAATTTCAGAGGTAATGTGGTTTTCTTAGCGATAACAGAGTCAAAATTATGGCCATTGTTGTGGATGGCTGAGGTAAAGTGAAAATAAAAGTCACTGGAGAGGAGGATTTCATGTGTCTACAGGAATACTGTTGTTGCCCAGGATCACCAAATACCATTACATAAGAGCCCTTACATGATCCTAGGATGTCAGAGCTAGAAATAACATACCATTGTAAGTTATGTAGTCCATATAAGTGGACTTGATTTGTTTCTCAATATGTGGCCCAGGTAATGCCCATATTACAAACACTTGGGGTACTCTTCAGACATGCCCCTACATCAGAACTAATGAATACCAATAGCCAAGGGTGAGATCCAGGAATTCTCATTTTATAAAATTATCCCAGTGATGCCCAAGTACACTAACTTTTGGAACATCTGGTCTAGCTCAACTCCTTCAAGCTTCTGCCTTTAGAGGCCAAGATCTTATTTCGATGCTAATACTCTCCATTATACAAAACTGCCTTTTGTGCCCAAAGCAATTAGTGGACAATTGGTAAACTTACAATAATAAATCAAATAATATTTAAGAATAAATAAGCTAAAAGAAAATCCAAATTCTTTATATAGATCTGGTTCCTGCCAGACTCTTGTATCACTTTCTGCCTTACTCATGGTGCTCCAGTAAGTTTATTCTCACCTAACAGTCTTTGCATTAGTTGTTCCTTCTGCTTGGAGTGCTCAGATATTAACATGAGTAGACCCACTTTTTACTCAAGACTCTGCTGAAACATCTGCTCCTTCAAGAGGTATTCCCAATCTAAAGTAACTTTCACCCCAAACCAGAGACTAAATACTATAGTTACTCTCTATAGTACTTATCAGCATTTAAAATACTCTTAATTTATTTACTGTCTTAGTCAAAATAAACTTAAGCTCCCTGGGACCAGGGATTGTGTCTGTGTTGTTCATTACCTCAAGCCCAATATGTATTTTTTCTGACTTTTTAAATATTTCTGCCACTAATTGTGACATCACATATACATATTCTGAGAATCATACTTCTTTTTATTCTCATACGCAATAGTTCCGTGTCCTATAGATCATTCTTATGTAAAGTCAAAGAATTTAGTTGAAAAAAACATGCCAATCATAAGCTTGCATATTTGTGGATAAGGTTATAAAAGCATTGAATGCATTCCACTGATTTATTCTTGATTGTTCATATAGGAAAAGATGAGTGTAAGGGAATTATGAATTTTTTTCTATTTTGGGGATTGAAAAAGTTAATATTGTTTTTATTTATTTATTTACTTTTTAAAAAAACTTTTAGGTTCTGAGGTACATGTGCAGATTTGTTATATAGGTAAAGTTGTGTTATATGGGTTTGTTGTACAGATTATTTCATCACCCAGGTACTAAGCCTAGCACCAAATAGTTATTTTTCTGAACTTCTCCTTCCTCTCACCCTCTACCCTCAAGTGGGCTCCAATGTCTGTTGTTCCCCTCTTTGTGTTCACATGCTCTCATCATTTAGCTCCCACTTACAAGTGAGAGCATGTGATATTTGGTTTTCTGTTCCTGCATTAGTTTAAGAATAAAGGCCTCCAGCTCCATCCTTGTTGCTTCAAAGGACATGATGTCATTCTTTTTTTGGCTGTGTAGTATTTCATGGCATATATGTATCATATTTTCTTTACCCAGTCCACAGTGATTGTACATTTAAGTTGATTCCATGTCTTTGTTATTGGGAATAGTGCTGCAATAAACATATGTGTGCATGTGTCTTCATGATAGAACAATTTATATTCTTTTGTGTTTTTACTCAGTAATGGGATTGCTGAGTTGAATGGCATTTCTGTTTCTAGCTCTTTAAGGAATTGCCACACTGCTTTCCATAATTGTTGAACTAATTTACACTCCCAGCAACAGTGTATTAGTGTACCCTTTTCTCTGCAACCTCACCAGCATCTGTTATTTTTTGACTTTTTAATAATAGCCATTCTGACTGGTGTGAGATGGTATCTCATTGTGGTTTTGATTTATATTTCTCTAATGATCACTGATATTGAGCTGTTTTTCATATGATTGTTGGCTGCATGTATATCTTCTTTTGAGAAGTGTCTGTTCATGTCCTTTGCCCACTTTTTAATGGGGTTGTTTGATTTTCTTGTAAATTTGTTTAAGTTCCTTACAGAAGCTGGATATTATTTTCTCCCATTCTGTATGCTGTTTATTGATAGTTTCTTTTGCTGTGCAGAAGTTCTTTAGTTTTATTGGATCCCATTTGTCAGTTTTTGCTTTTGTTGCAATGGTTTTGGTATCCTCATCACGAAATCTTTGCTAGTTCCTATGTCCAGAATGGCATTGCCTAGGTTGTCTTAAAGGGTTTTTATAGTTTTGGGTTTTACATTTAAGTCTTTAATCCATCTTGAGTTAATCTTTTATTATGGTATAAGGAAGGGGTCCAGTTTCAGTCTTCTGCCTATGGCTTGCCAGTTTTCCCAGCACCATTTATTGAATAGGGAGTCCATTATTGGGTATGTACCCAAAGTAATATAAGTCATTCTACTATAAAGACACACGCATGGGTCTGTTCATCACAGCACTATTCTCACTAGCAAAGACATTGACTCAACCTAAACGACCATCAACAGTAGACTGGCTAAAGAAAATGTGATACATATACACCATGGAATACTACGCAGCCATAAAAAACATAAAAAAGAATGAGATCATATCCTTGGCAGCACCATGGGTGGAGCTGGAGGCCATCATCCTCAGGGAACTAATGCAGGAACAGAAAACCAAATACTGCAGGTTCTGACTTATAAGTGGGAACTAAATGATGAGTATGCATAGACACAAAGATGGAAACAATAGACACTGGTGCCTACTTAATGGTGGAAGGTGGACGGAATTGAAAAACTACCTATCAAGTGCTATGCTTATTACCTGGCTGAGGAAATAATCTGTATGTCAAACCCACTTGACATGCAATTTTCCTGTATAACAAATCTGCACACGTACCCAAACCCAAAATAAAAGTTAAAGTTGGAAAAGAAGCAACAACAACTACAACAACAAAACATGGGTGTTATTGAAATTCCTAAAATTTTTGGGAAATAAAATTGTTATAAATTTATTCTAAGCTTATTCACAATTTTAAGACTTTTCCTATTTGCCTGTTGATTATTGTGAAATAAACCTGACATATTAAAATCAATAAAACGTGTGCATCAATCAGTTACGAACAAAGTTAGCTTGACAAATCTAGGTATACTATTTATTTAATATGCAGAAATGTTAAATTTGGATGAAGTTATTGACAAATATACAGAAGTTAAGGCTCAAAACCAGAAACTGTAATATTATTATTCATTCCTGTGGTAGACCACCATGTAGATATAAGTTTTTTTCCTTTGAAAAATACATTAATGCAATTAAAACACCTTGATCCATTTTTTTTCCTTTTTGGTTCTGTACTATTTATTTTGCATTTTATTTTTATATTGGCATATATATGTATGTATATGTTTATATTAAGTTCAATAAAAGAAAATAGTCATTCAATGTTTCTTTTGCAGCCAGTATTATTAGTTTCATTTCATCATTATTTCTTAAAACAATTTTGTCATTTACAGGATAGTTCTGTTAAAAAAGGATCTGTTTTCGGTATGAAATGTGATAGGTATCAACTAATGCCTAGTATATAGTTTGTACTTAATAAATATTTGTTGACTGAATGAATGAATACATGAATTAATATTGGGACTGTTAATGGGCATATTATGAGCATCCTCTTTCCTCAGAATCCTTCATGCAGGCCTACGGAAGACCTTGCTCCTGTTGTGAATACGGCAATATACCCTTAGTATATTCTCCTGATAGTACCAAAATCATCCTTTAAAAATGTAAATTAGATCACATCACACCTTTGCTCAAAATCCTGCAATGATTTCCCATCTTATTCAGCATAAAATCCAAATTTATTTTGGCAGCACGAAAGCCCTTACGCTGCATTACTTCGCTACCTCTGAAATTATTGCTCCAGCCTCACTGGCCTTTTTCATTGCTGTTCCTTCCGTATGCAACCCTCTTCTCTAAATTCCTTCAGGACTTCTATCAAATGAGCTTATCAGAGAGTCTTTCTCTCATTTATATAAACCAGTGAACTCCCACCTCATTCCCACACTGTTTTATTTTCCTTCACAGCATTTGTCTCTTTTACTCCTGGAATCATAAGCTCTATGAGGAAGCCACTATGTTTTGTCTGTGCTCCGAACAACTGCCTGGCATAGAGTAAGCTCTCCGTGACATAGTTTTAGAATGAATGAACTTACTCATGTTTCGCAGAGGTAATAACTTCTTTTTCTGACTATATAATTAATTATTAAAGCAGCTACACGTGGGTATTAAGTCCTTATGTAGACATTATCACATATGCCTGAAACAAAATAATTAAAAGTTCTGCACCCAGGAAAATAACTCCCACCTAGACTATGGATAATATTCTGAAAGGCTTTATCTGGGACTGGGAGGGGCAACCACAAGGGTGAAGAGTTTCTCCGGAAGACAGCCGACCAAAACTGCAGCAGTTGCCAAGGCCGCTGGAGGAGGGCGGAGAAAAGGCGGTAACTGGCTGGCAACAGCAGTTGCCACGGCCGCCGGAGGAGGGCGGAGAAAAGGCGGTAACTGGCAGGCAACGGGCGTAACGGGGCGGGGCTGTCGGAAGGGGAGCCTAGTCGAACTGATTTGTCCCTCTCCGCTCTCCGTCTGAAAACCTTGGCGGAAAGGGTCGTGGACATGGCGGCCATCAGGGTAAGCGAAAACGAACTTGCTTAATTTCTGTGGTTGCCGATAGCATCCCGGTAACTGTAAAAGGGATCCTACTAACTTCTGAAGGAGCCCCGGAGCAAGGGGCGGGGTGGAGGTGGGTTTTGACATAATTACAATCTTTATTGTTTGAAGCCTCAAGACACCTGCCTTTCCCCATTCGGGTTTTATCAGCCTGGGACACTGCTTCCTCAATCCCCTTCGGTTGTCGATTTACACAGTGGCACAATACAAAACTGGGAAACGGCTGGGTGAAAATGGTTGGCCAGGCGACGAGCCGCAGTAGATGTTTCGGTCTTGAGCTGCAAAAAAGAGAGAGAAAAAAAAATCCTGGGCATTTGTCTCGGCGCACAGGGCAAGGCCTCATGACCCTATGGAAGGACTTTGTTGAAACATTTGGGGTGAAACTGACCAGGATAGAGAGGTCCCATAGTCTCTCAGCAGTGCGCTGGTTTACAAGTAGTGTTGTTGCTCTCTGTGCTCGAATAACCTGTTTCTTTCGAGTTTTACGCTTGGAAAAGATGCCTTTACTTGGGAATCCGTGTACAGTGAGTGACTCAGCTGGCTGCTTGCTGCAGTTCCCTAAGTAGTGTTTAATAATGGTAGTCTACAGGTATTTATGTAGCGGGTTTTAAGTGTAAAACATTCTGTTAGGCTTGCAGGAGATACAATATGAATAATTCAGTTTCGCTGAAGTTTAAGTCGGCAGCGTCTGCAGTTCTGTTTCTCATACTTATCTGAGTTCTTTCAACAACCTCCTACCTAACTTGCTGCCTCAAGCCTGGCTCTCATGTAATCCGTTTTCTGTGTTGCCAGAGTACATCTACCAAAATGCAAATTTGATTTTTTGCCTCCCCCCCCCCCCCCCCAACCCCATTTACAAAACTGTATGGGCATGTCATCATCTCCCCTCTGGGGTCAGGTCATACTCTTATGTCTAGAACACCTGATTTTACCTAGACTTTCCAGCCTTATCTCTTGTCACTCAGGAACCCTCCTCCTGTCGATGCTGAGCTACTTGCTTCACCCCTCCTTGCTTTTTTACGTGCTCTCTCTGGGCCTAAAGTGCCTTTTCCCATGCTTATCTAGTTGCATTTATAGTTCATTCTTTAATTCAACAGATATTTGTATATAGCCTCCCCATAGGCAAAACACAAAAATGCCTGTCTAACAGTGTCCTTGATCTCCCCAGTCTATTTTATTTTATTTTTTATTTTTGAGACGGAGTCTTGCTCTGTCTCCCAGACTTAAGTGCAGTGGCGCGATCTCGGCTCACTGCAACCTCCCTGCCCCCCGCTCCCCCCGGGTTCAAGCCTCCTGAGTAGCTGGGACTACAGGCGCGCGCCACCATGCCCGGCTAATTTTTTTATTTTTTAGTAGAGATGGAGTTTCACCATGTTGGTCAGGCAGGTCTCGAACTCCCGACCTCATGATACACCCTCCTGGGCCTCTTAAAGTACTGGGATTACAGGCGTGAGCCACCGCGCCCGGTCCTCGCCAGTCTATTTTAAATAACACTTGTTTGTGCTCCCAGAGGACTCTGGGCACACTCTTAACCAAGCATTTATTTCACTGCACATACAGACTACTTACTTGTCTGTTCTAGCTACCTAAACTTTAAGTTCCTTGAAGACAGTAATTATATTTTGTATCCGTAGTACCTGGCACAAGTCTGATGTGTATTAGGTAGTCAACATGTTCTACATGAATAAAGTGCCAGGCAATGAGGACAAAAGAGATTAAGTGGTGGAGATATAACACATATAACACAAATGACTGTGATTAAGAGTAAGGGGAGTTTCTTACCTCAAGAGAAGTACAGAGTGCTCTGAGGCTCAAAAAGAGAGAGAGCTCACACTTGGTTTGAAGAGAGTAAAGAAAGGCTTCGTGGAGAAGGTCCACAGACAGAAGGAATGGTCAGTGGCAAAAAGCAAACCAGAATAGTGTGTTGTCATTGAAACTTAGAGAAGAGAGTTGAACAGTCCTTTGATTTCACCGTTAATAAGTTGCTGCAGTTATCATTTATTAAGTGCTTACTCCAGGCCAGGCACTATGCTAAAACACGTTACATGTGTTAATTCACTAATTCTCAAGACAGCTTTATGTGGTGGGTATTATTACCATTTTACAGATGAAAATTAAGGTTTAGAGGAGTCAGATTATTCAAAACCATGCTAATAAGAGCTGAAGTGAGCTAAAGAGATAAATAGAGTGGTAGAGGAACAACCAAGATTGTAAGGGGTTAAGAAAAGAATAAGGAATGGAGAACTGGCATTCATTTAGCACCTACTTTGGCCAGATGATTTACATATATTATTTTAGTTTAATCCTCTTGATGACCCTAAGAAATGGGTAATATATCCATTTTACAGATGAAAAAACGGAGGGTTAGAAAAGCTGCTTGCTCCAGGCCATACAACCACTAAGTGGAAGAACTAGGTTCAAACAGTATATTTATCCCCAAAGTCTTTCCACTCCTCCATGCTTCCTCTGGAAAGGAGTTATACATTACTCTTTGGTGGTGAAAGAAAGGAACGAAATCTTGGAATGAGGGTAGCAAATTCCAGAAAAGGTGTCTTTTAATTAAAAAAAAAAAAAAAACTAAAAACAAAACAGGAGACAGAAGACTTGAGCTACTTTGGAGACAAGGGAAAATGTACCAGGAGGTATCTAGAGGGAAAGGTAATAGTATTTACAGCTATTATGTTATTGAATATTGACTACGTGCTAGGAATTTTGCTAAGCACTTTATGTGGATTCTCTCATTTATGTTTCACATTGGCCTTATGAGTAGGAACTGTTATTAATCACTTTTTGCAGGTAGGGAAACAGAAGCTTAAAAAGGTTGAGTAACTCCGAGGTCATACAGGAGTAAAGTGGTAGAGCTGGATCTGAAATCACATGGTTTAAGTCCTGAACCTGGACTCTTAACCATACTTTGTAAGACAGTGGTAAAATCAAGAGAACAAGTGGAGGGATTAACCTTGGCAAAGAGGAGACACACTTTGCTTCAAAGGCCAGAGTTGGTCAAGATAGAAGGTGAAGATACAAAGTGATTTTGAAGAACGAAGGAGGTCAAGGAGGGAGCTCACATTGGAGGTCTGTATCTTCTGGGTGTAAGGTCATCTGCTGAGAGAGTAAAATGCGCCTTTAGGAGTTTAAGAATGGGATAGGCTTGGAAAAGGTGTTGTAGGAATTCAGTAAAGTATCAGTAGACATTGAATAAAATATTAATAATTGCTGAGAAGTGAGGGCCCGGCTAATGTTGGCTCTAGTAGTGATTTTCTCCAGCAGTGCTCACAGCATAGGGGAAGAGGAGACAGTGGGTTGCTCAAGTGCTGAGTGTTGTCAAGGTGAGAATGTTAGAAGATCTAGGGAATTTATCCAAATAATAGTCATCTACTCTGGATAAGGAGACAAACAAAGAAGATTGAAGTGATGGACTAGGGTACTAGAAGATTTATGGCCATAGTGAGAAAGAAGATCTAGTTCAAAAAGAGTAGGAGAATTGAAAGAGCATTCTATTTTAATGAGGGAAATTTCAAGCATTTAGGATCTCGAAGGTGAAACAATTTCTAATAATTGCAAGGTAGGGTAATTGTGTTAGAAATGGCTAAGATTTGTGGAGATCATGGTGCTTGAGAAGCAAGGACTATGCTGATCTCTCAGATCTTCTGAAATCAGGGGGAATTGCTGGAGGTCTGGCCTTCAATTAAGTGGATTGGGAGGAATATATAATAGTAGTGTCAAGTAAAAGCCAAGTTTCATTTAATGCCAGAGGTTGAGAGTGAGTTTGAGGACAATTTGGATATTGGCAGATAATTTGTTTGTAATAGAATACTTAAAATCAAAATTTGTAGGCCGGGCGCGGTGGCTCAAGCCTGTAATCCCAGCACTTTGGGAGGCCGAGACGGGCGGATCACGAGGTCAGGAGATCGAGACCATCCTGGCTAACACGGTGAAACCCCGTCTCTACTAAAAAATACAAAAAACTAGCCGGGCGTGGTGGCGGCGCCTGTAGTCCCAGCTACTCGGGAGGCTGAGGTAGGAGAATGGCGTAAACCCGGGAGGCGGAGCTTGTGGTGAGCTGAGATCCGGCCACTGCACTCCAGCCTGGGCGACAGAGCCAGACTCCGTCTCAAAAAAAAAACAAAACAAAAACAAACAAACAAAAAAAACAAAATTTGTCTATGATTTCTTGAGGACTTACTGTGTATCAGGTACTGTGCTAAGCTGTTGATACACATTATTTCATTTAATTCTCACTAAACGTCTTCTAAGGTAGGTAACTTTACCTGTAAGAACTGAAGTAGATCAGTAAGGAAATTGAAACTGTAATTATAGGAGGTTGTACTCAGAAAAAAACTTGCTGAATTTATGATTTTAGCTATTAAGAAGTTCTAGGGAACGGTAAATTCAAGATGTACCTGGGGAACAGGTAGCTATAAGACCCTCTGGGTTAATGTATTTTTTTTTTCTTTTTTTCCCCAGCTTTATTGAGGTATAACTGACAAATAAAATTGTTTGATTTTAAGGTGTACATGATATACATATATTTTGTGGAATGATTACCAGAATCAAATTAGTTTATATGTATCACTTCACCATGCTGTGTATTGTATCCCTTGAACTTACCTATCTTATCATTGAAAGTTTGTGCCCTTTGGCCAACCTCCCAACCTCTCCCCTTTCCTTCACCTTTGCCCCTGGTAACTGCCATTCTGTTCTCTAGTTCAGTAAGTTCAACTTCTTAAGATTCCACGTACAGATAAAATCATACAGAGTTTGTCTTTCTTTGTCTGACTTACTTTACTTAGCATAATACCCTTGAGGGTTATCCATGTTGTTGCAAATAACAGGATTTTTTTCTTTTTTTATGGTTGAATAATAACCCGTTGTGTGTGTGTGTGTGTGTGTGTGTGTGTGTGTGTATGTGTATACACCACAATTTCTTCATCCATTGATCTGTTGGCAGACACTTAGGTTAGACACTTAGGTTGTTTTCATGTTTTGGCTATTGTGAATAAATCCTGCAATGAACATGGGAGTGCAGGTATCTTTGCAATTGCTGATTTCATTTGCTTTGGTTGTACACCTACTTTGGCTATTCAGAGTCTTTTGTGATTCCATACAAATTTTGCAATTGTTTATTTTTTCTGTGTCTGTGAAAAATGCCATTAGAATTGAATCTGTGGATTGCTTTGGGTAGTATGGATATTTTAACAACATTAATTCTTCCAATTCATGAACACAGGATATCTTGACATTTGTATCTTCATTTTTGTTCATTATGGTTTGATAGTTTTCAATATACAGCTCTTTCACCTCTTCGGTTAAGTTTATTCTTAAGTGTTTTATTCTTTCTGATGTTGTTTTAAATGGGATTGCTTTCTTTCTTTTTTGGGTAGATCATCTTCAATAGTGTATCGAAATATAACTGCTTTTTTGTATGTTGACTTTGTGTGCTGCAATTCCCTGAGTTTATTTATTAGTTCTAACAACTTTTTGGTGGCATATTTAAGATCTTCTATGTATAATATCATGTAATCTGGGAAAAGAGACAATTTTACTTCTTCTTTTCCAATTTGTATGCCTTTCATTTCTTTCTCTTGCCTAATTGCTTTGACTAGAACTTCCAGTGCTATGTTAAATAGAAGTGGCAAGAGTCTTGTTCCTGATCTTAGAGGAAATGCTTTTAACTTTTCGCCATTGGGTATATTAGTTGTGGCCTTATCATATATGGCTTTTATTATGTTGCGGTACATACCTTGTATAATTAATTTGTTGAGAGTTTTTATCACAAAAGGATGTTGAAGTTTGTCAGATGCTTTTTCTGCATTCATTAAAATGATCGTGTTGTTTTTGTCTTTCATTCTATTAATGTGGTGTATCATGTTCATTGATTTGGATATGTTGAACCGTCCTTGCATCTCTGGGATAAATCTTACTGATCATGGTGAATGAGCCTTTTACTTTTATTTATTTATTGACTTCTTTGTTCAACTTCTGTTTTAGGTTCAGGTGTACATGTGAAGGTTCGTTACGCAGGTAGACTCATATCATGGGCATTTATTGTGCAGATTATTTCATCACCCAGCTATTAAGCTCATTACCCAATAGTTATCTTTTCTGCTCCCCTCTTTGCTCCCACCCACTACCCTCAAGGAGACCCTGGTGTCTGTGGTTTCTTTGTGTTTGTAAGTTCTCATCATTTAGCTCCCACTTATAAGTGAGAACATGCAATATTTGGTTTTCTGTTCCTGCGTTTACTTGCTAAGGATAATAGCCTACAGCTCCATCCATATTCGTGCAAAAGACATGATCTCATTCCTTTTTACGGCTGCATAGTATTCCATGGTGTATATGTACCATTTTTTTTAAATCCAATCTGTTATTGGTGAACATTTGGGTTGATTCTGTATCTTTGCTATTGTGAATAGTGCTGTCAAGCTACCCTTCTAAGTGGTTGTACCATTTTGCATTCCTACTAGCAATGAATGAGACTTCCTGTTGCTCCATGTTCTCCCCAGCATTTACCATCATCAATGTTTCGGATTTTCACCCTGCTAGTAGGTATGTAGTGATATCTTATTATTGTTTTAATTTGTAATTCTCCAGTGACATGATGTGAAGCATCTTTTCATATGCTTATTTGCCATCTGTGTATCTTTGATGAAGTATCTGTTGAGATATTTTGCCCATTTTAAAACATTTTAATAGTTTTTCAGGAACAGGTGGTTTTAGGTTAAATGGATGAGTTCTTTAGTAGTGATTTCTGAGATTTTGGTGCACCTGTCACCTGAGCAGTTTACACTGTCTCCAACGTGCAGTATTTTGTCCCTTACCCCTCCCAGTGTTCCCAAGTCCTCAATGTGCATTGTCTTATTTTTATGCCTTTGAATTATCATAGCTTAGCCCCCACTTATTAGTAAAACCATACGATAGTTGGTTTTCAATACCTGAGTTACTTCACTTGGGATAATGTTCTCCAACTTCATCTGGGTTGCTGCAAATACCCTTATTTTGTTCCTTTTTATGTCTGAATAGTATTCCGGGTTGTATATATACCACATTTTCTTGATCCACTCATTGGTTGATGGGCATTTAGGTTGGTTACATATTTTCACAATTGCAAATTGTGCTGCTGTAAACATGCATGTGCAAGTGACTTTTTTATATAATGACTTTTTTTCTGTGGGTAAATACCCAGTAGTGGGATTGCTGGATTGAATAGTAGTTCTACTTTCAGTTCTTTAAGGAATCTCCATACTGTTTTCCATAGTGGTTGTACGAGCTTACATTCCCATCAGCAGCCACCACATCCACACCAACATCTATTATTTTTTGATTTTTTAATTATGGCCATTCTTGCAGGAGTAAGATGGTATCGCATTGTGGTTTTAATTTGCATTTCTCTGATAATTAGTGATGTTAAGCATTTTTTCATGTTTGTTGGACATTTGCATATTGTAAGAATTGTCTCTTCATGGTCTTTGCCTACTTTCTGATGCCATTATTTGTTCTTCTTTTTTTTGCTGATTTGTTTGAGTTTCTTGTAGATGCTGGATATTAGTTCTTTGTCAGATGCATAGTTTGTGAGTATTTTCTCCCACTGTCAGTTGTCTGTTTTCTCTGCTATTTTGTTTGCTGTGTAGGAGCTTTTTAGTTTAATTAGGTCCCATCTATTTATTTTTGTTTTTGTTGCATTTGCTTTTGGATTCTTGGTCATGAACTACTCTTTGCCTAAGCCAATGTCTAGAAGAGTTTTTCTGATGTTATCTTCTGGGATTTTCATGGTTTCAGGTCTTAGATTTAAGTCTTTGATCCATCTTGAGTTGATTTTTGTGTAGGTGAGAGATGAGGATCCAGTTTCATTCTTCTACATGTGGCTTGCCAGTTATTCCAACATGATTTGTTGAACAGGGTGTGTGTGCTTTTCCCATTCTGTTTTTATTTGCTTTACCTAAGATCAATTGGCTGTAAGTATTTGGCTTTATTTCTTGGTTCTCTACTGTGTTCCATTGGTCTACGTGCCTACTTTTATACCAATACCATGTTTTGGTAACTGTAGCCTAGTTTGCAGTGTAGTTTGAAGTTGGGTAATATGATGCCTTCAGATTTGTTCTTCTTGCTTAGTATTACTTCAGCTACGTGGGCTCTTTTTTGGTTCCATATGAATTTAAGGATTGTTTTCTTCTAGTTCTGTGGAGAACGATGATGATATTTTGATGTGAATTGTATTGAATCCGTAGATCACTTTTGGCAGTATGGTCATTTTGACAATATTGATTGTATCCATCCATGAGCATGGGACATGTTTCTATTTGTTTGTGTCATCTATAATTTCTTTCAGCAGTGTTGTATAGTTTTCTTGTAGAGATCTTCCACCTCCTGAGGTTTTTTTGTTTGTTTATTTTTTGTTTCTGTTTTGTAGCTGTCGTAAAAGGGATTGAATTATTGATTTGATTCTCAGCTTGGTCATTGTTGGTGTATAGCAGTCCTACTGATTTGTGTACATTGATTTTGTATCCTGGGACTTTACTGAATTATTTGTTAGATCTAGGAGCTTCTTGGATGAGTTCTTAGAATTTTCTAGGTATACTGTCATATCATTGGTGAACAGCACTGGTTTGACTTCCTCTTTTCCGATTTGAGTGTCCTTTCTTTCTTTCTTTTGTATGATTTCTTTGGCTAAGACTTCCAATATGTTGAATAGAAGTGGTGAAAGTGATTATCCTTGTCTTGTTTCAGTTCTCATTGGGAATGCTCTCAATTTTTCCCCATTTAGTATGATATTGGCTGTGGGCTTGTCATAAATGGCTTTTATTACCTTGAGGTCTGTTCCTTCTATGCCAATTTTGCAGAAGGTTTTTGTCACTAAGGGAGCCAGGATTTTTTTAAAATGCTTTTTCTGCTTCTATTGAGATGATCTTATGATTTTTAGTTTTAATTCCGTTTATGTGATATATCACATTTACTGACCTGTGTATGTTAAACCATCCCTGCATCACTGGTATGAAACCCACTTGCTTGTGATGTATTATCTTTTTGATATGCTGTTGGGATTCAGCTAGCTAGTATTTTGTTGAGGATTTTTGCATCTGTGTTCATCAGGGATATTGGTCTGTAGTTTTCTTTTTTTTTGTTATGTGCTTTCCTGGTTTTGGTATTTGGGTGATACTGGCTTCATAGAGTGATCTAGGGAGGACTCCCTCTTTCTTTCTTTCTTTTTTTTTTTTGTAATAGTTTTAGTAGGATTGGTACCAATTCCTCTTTGAGTGTCTGATACAGTTTAGCTGTGAATCCATCTGGTCCTGGAATCTGTTTTTGTTGGCAATTTGTAAACTACTGTTTCGATTTCGCTACTGGTCTGTTCAGTTTCTACTTCTTCCTTACTTAATCTAGGAGGGTTGTTTATTTCCAGGAATGTATCCATCTCTTCTAGGTTTTCTAGTTTGTGTGCACAAAAGTGTTCATAGTAGCCTTCAATGATCTTTTGCATTTCTGTGGTGTCAGTTGTAATATCTCTCTTTTCATTTCTACTTGAGCTGATTTGGATATTCTCTCTTCTTTTCTTTTGTTTAATCTCTCTAATGGTCAATCAATTTTCTTAATTTTTTCAAATAAACAGATCTTTGTTTTATTTATCTCTTGTATTTTTTTTGTTTCAATTTTATTTAGTCCTGGTCTGATTTTGTTATTTCTTTTCTTCTAGCTTTAGGTTTAGTTTGACCTTGTTTCTCCAGTTCCTAGAGGTGTGATATTTGATTGTCAATATTTGGGCTCTTTCACACTTCTTGATGTAGGCATTTAATGCCATGAACTTTCCTCTTAGCACTATTTTTGCTGTATCCCAGAGGTTTTGATAAGTTGTGTTACTATTATTCAGGTCAAAGACTTTTTAAATTTCCATCTTGATTTCATTGTTGGCCCAAAGATCATTCAATGGGAGATTATTTAATTTACATGTATTTGTATAGTTTTGAGGATTCCCTTTGGAGTTGATTTCAGTTTTATTCTACAGTGGTCTGAAAGGATGCTTAATATGATTTTGATTTTCTTAAATTTATTCAGAAGTGTTTTTTGGCCTATCATGTGGTCTGTCTTGAAGAATGTTCCATGTCCTGATGAAAAGAGTGCATATTCTGCAGTTTTGGGGTAGTAAGTTCTATAAATATCTAAGTCCATTTGTTCTAGGATGTAGTTTAAATCCACTGGTTCTTTGTTGACTTTCTGTCTTGATGACCTGTCTAGTGCTGTCAGTGGAGTATTGAAGTCCCCTACTATTATTGTGTTGCTGTCTATCTCATTTCTTAGGTCTAGTAGTAATTGTTTTATGAATTGTGGAGCTCCTGTGTTAGGTACGTATGTGTTTAGGACTGTGATATTTTCCTGTTGGAGTAGTCCTCTTATCACTATATAATATCCCTCTTTGTCTTTTTAAACTGTTGTTATTTTAAAGTAGCTACTCCTGCTCACTTTTGGTGTCCGTTTGCATGGACTATCTTTTTCCACCCCTTTGCCTTAAGTATATGTGAGTCCTTATGTGTTAAGTGAGTCTCAGCAATTACTTGGTTGGTAGATTTTTATTCATTCTGCCATTCTTTATCTTTTAAGTGGAGCATTTAGGCCATTTACTATCAGTGTTAGTATTGAGATATGAGGTACTGTTTTATTTATCATGCTGGTTGTTGCCTGAATACCTTTTTTTAAATTGTGTTATTGTTTTATAGGTCTTGTGAGATTAATGCTTTCAGTTGGTTGTATTTTGGGCGTATTTCGAGGTTTTCTTTCAAGATTTAGAACTGCTTTTAGCAGTTCTTGTAGTGCTGGCTTGGTAGTGGCGAATTCTCAGCATATTTTTTTTTTTGTCTGAAAACAACTTTATCTCTCCTTTATTTATGAAGTTTAGGTTTGCTGGAAATAAAATTACTGGCTGACAATTATTTTATTTAAGGAGGTTAAAGATAGGACCCCAATTCCTTCTGGCTGTAAAGTTTCTGCTAGGAAATTTGCTGCTAGTCTGATAGGTTTTTCTTTATAGTTTACCTGATGCTTTTGTCTCACAGCTCTTAAGATTTTTTCCTTCGCCTTGAGTTTAGATAACCTGATGACTGTGTGTCTAGGTGATTATCTTTTTTGTGATGAATTTCCCAGAAGTTCTTTGAGCTTCTTATAGTTGGATGTCTAGATCTCTAGCAAGACCAGGAAATTTTTTCTCAATTATTCCTTCAAATGAGTCTTCCTAACTTTTTGATTTCTCTTCTTCCTCAGGAAGACCAGTTATTCTTAGATTTGGCCATTTAACATAATCCTCAGTTTACTGGAAGTTTTGTTCATTTTTTAAGATTATTTTATCCTTGTCTTTTTCTGATTGGGTTAATTTGAAAACCTTGTCTTGGAGCTCTGAAATTCTTTCTTCTACTGGTTCTAGTCTATTTTTGAAAATTTCCACTGCATTTTGTTTTTCACTAAGCGTGTCTTTTATTTCCAGAAGTTGTGATTGGTTTTTCTTTATGATACCTATTTCTATGGAAAATGTTTCATTCATATCCTGTATTTTTTTAAAAAAG